GGGCGGGGATGCCACTCACGGGGCCCCGCGGCTGGAAAGGGCGGTTCCAGGTCTTCCAATTTACTTAGAAATCGTCTTGGCCAAGGACCCCTCTCTGCGGATTCCTGTCTACTGCCCGCACCTTCTGGGTTCACGAGGGCCATGTGAATTTTCCCAGAGGCTCAGACGGGGCAACGACCTCCTCCTGGGTGCTCCCGGGCCAGCATGGTCTTGCTCCTGACTCCCCAGGGGTCTTGGCATATTTGCCAAAGTCTGCAGGCCTGGGGGGAACCCTGGTCATCTTCAGTAACTCAGACTCCAGAGCTGAGAAACTCTCTTCATCGCTCTGTAAAGAGCTACACCAGAGCAATCTACCTTAACTGCGATAACAGAAATGATTGCGACTGTCAACACATGGTCCTGATGACGAGGATATTGATACTAATAATGATAATATTGATAATAAAACGAACCTAGAACATCGGGAACTTGGAGGACAGATTCCCTCTAAGTGAGGGACCAGGTACAGACGAAGGAACACATGAGTAGTTTGGATTCAGAGTGGAAGGAAACGTGTTCCTCTAAGGCAAAGACAAGCAGCCCGAGGGAAGGGGAAAAGCCCACTAAATGGATGCCTGCACTGCTGTGGAACTAAGGTGGGAATCCCACGGGGAATTGTCCCTGGGCCTGGGCCTGCCCTCCAGTCAACTCCCAGCTGCCTTCAGGGGTTAGGAAAGTGGGATGCCAGGGAGGGGCTCCATATTCACACCTGTGGGCAGAAGCACTGCTTATGACCAATATTTCATTCCCTACACTGTGCCAGCCCTTACTGCCTGGCTGCATTTCTGCCATCTTCTCTTCTCAGACTACAGGAGGGTCAGATGTCTCTGTCCCCCGACCTGGACACAGAAATATCAGAGACCATCACCCTTGCTGCTCCCTGTTCGGTAGCAGGCAGTAACACAGCATGTCAGGAGCTGTCTCAGGCTTTGAGGGTCAGCACATTCACGGGTTGCCGCAGCTACAGAGAGCCCCTGGCCTCAAGGTGACATTCTCCACAGGGCGGATGACGCACAGTGATTAATGGAGGCAGGGACACATAGGTCTGGCGGATGATTTGATTTTGGACAAGCAGGAGAGGCCATGCTGACTCTACAGCCCCATCTGTGGAGCCAGCTGAAGAGGCGAGGCGGTACTGCACATAGAGTTTCCATTTTACAAGTAGAACTTTCACTCCATCCTCTCACAAATGAGGATCCTGGCATCACTCCTGATAAACACCCTGCACACTCAAGTCCACTGGCAGCCAGGTGCCTGGAAATCAAACCTGGGGCAACCATGACAAGTTCTAGGGAAAACAGGGCATCTTTATCAGGAAGGAATCCAATTCTGCTGAGCTTGAAAATAAGATAAAGACTGATGCCATTTCATGAGCTTCCCCCCGCCGCCACTCAATGAACACTTTACCATTGTCAGCAAGAACGATGCCCATGAATTAATGCGACAAAAATCATCCTGGAGTGGAACAGAGGTGTCGTGGGAAGAGATGAAATGCTGATGAATGGACTCTACCCTCAGATTCAGAAGGAGAGGAGAGGACAGCAGCTGGGAACAAAGAGTCCAAAGTGTGTTTTGTTTTTGCGTTTTTTTATTATTCAGATTTCATGTTGGGAGATACTATCATTAATGTTTAAATGCTAAGGGGATGTATCAGATGGGGAGAAGCAATGCAAATTAAAGTGTACATTTTATAAAATGGCATCAATTCCTTATATATGTCGGGAGGCAGTATTTGGAGTTAAATAGCCTCACTGAGATTAAAGATGATTGCCCCCTGCTGTGAGAGAGCTGAGTAAACAATGCGTGTCAGTGCAGTGATACTTCCAGATGTAATGGGTAAAAGTCTCTATCTCCAAAACGATGTATTTGCGAAATAGTTTACCAACCATTGGATAAACGTGAGGTAAGACATGAGGCTGGGGAAGTTCGAGAGTCGTAGCAGTTACTGAGCGTGGGAGAAGGAATTGGCATGCACGACCTAGCAGGCTTGCCAGAGAATTTTGAGAAATGACCAAAATGACCCCGGATATAATGGAATCCCGATGACCCCTGATGGAGTTCATTTCTTCCTGGGAACCAGTGATTTTTTAAAAATTTCAAATATGTGGGGTACAATTCAGGGTTAGGCATACAAATGTTCATTATGCAGGTGCCCTTGTGGATGAGGTGTGCTCCCTCTTCCCCTGGAAGTTTCCCGCTACTGCCCATCCCTTTCTTAGAGTATGGTGATAGTTGCTCACGGTCTGCTTATGAGTGAGAACATGTGATACTCGGAAACCAGTGATT